GGTTACTAAAAATAGAAATTTTCTATGAAATTCCTTTAAAATGCTACTCCTCCTACAGTTTTGATATGATTTCAGTATTACTTGGCACACAAGTAGACTACACTAAGATACATAAAATAGTGCATCGTTTTTTGATTTTGATGAATGGTATTTCCATGGTTACTAAAAATAGAATTTTCTGTGAAATTCCTTTAAAATGCTACCCCTTCTACAGTTTTGGTCTGATCTCAATATTACTTGGCACATAAGTAGACTATACTAAGATACATAAAATAGTGCATCGTTTTTTGATTTTGATAAACGGTGTTGCCATGGTTACTAAAAATAGAATTTTCTGTGAAATTCCTTTAAAAGCTACTCCTCCTACAGTTTTGATCTATTGGCAATGGCTTCTTTTCTCATCCTTTGTTATAAGTTGAAACCAGTAGAGCTACAGTCTTGAGAGAGACTTTTGGTTTAACAAACAAGATAGAGAACTTAAAGTTTATGTAAACATAAACAAGACACGGGCCTTGTTTATGATTAGTACATATAGAAAATATATTTATAACAAAATGAAATTCGGCAAATCACTAGAAACTGATACTAGTAAATTGAATTTAAAATTAACTTTTTAATTAAAATTATCTATTATAGGAGTTTTATGAAGATACTTACTTTTACAATCTACAGCTGACTTTTACAATTGTAACAGTGACTTACTCCATTTACTAAAATGTAAAAGTCAGCTGTTGAATGTAAAAGTAAGTGTCTTCATAAAACTCCATATATAACACATATACAAATTTTTTATGGTCATTATTAAGACTAGTTAATAATTTGATAAAATTTGAAAAAAATTAGCTTAAACTGTGTCCATGTCACTTTGATTTGTAAATACAAATTGTCAAATTCTATAGATTAAACATCATTCCATTTATTACTAAGGTTCCCTCTAAAACGTAAGATAATGATTCTTAAATAAGGGTTATGTCTTGTGCTGAAGTTCGATTATATTAAGTTTTATTGCAAGAATAATGTGACATTAATTTGTGCGAAAAACCATGTGAGTTTAAAACGTGCGTTGAGCTGCATAGTGATAACATTGACACTTAGATTAACTGAATTGATAACTATGCAATGGCACGATAATGCAATGACGATGAAGAGATACATGTGTAGTGTGATAGCGCAAAGAGGATGATATAAAAGCGCGACAATGCGATGTTGATGTTACGATAGCACAATGAAACAATAGTGCGAAAGTGATGACACGATGGTACAATGACAATGGCGCAATATTCCACATCACGCTATTGCACCATCGTTATAACATTGTCGACCCATCGCATTACCGTCATCGCGCCATAGCTCGATCGTCATTGCAGAATCGTTTCATCGTTATCACATCATCGATCTTTTAGTCTATGCTCGATGAAGCTATATAGTGAACTACATGCATGGTCCTTTCTGGAGTCCATAGAGAATGGTCACATAAACAACATGCCTTTGATTGCAGCCCGGAGGACAGGGCTGCTCTATACGTGTACATACAAGTTTAAGTGTTGGGGTATGGGGGCTGAGGTGGGAGAATTTATTAAAGGTTTTCTAAACATTAAAAAGATTGTTAATCAGAATGTTTTCCTTCTATAAATTATGAGAAACACAATATATTTACTTCCATAAAGTGAATCTGTAAAAACATATATGTTTTTCATATTTATGTATAAAGTTGCTAATCATTTACTATTGATAAAAGACATGCCCCTTTTTTAGAACAAAGAATTTTACTTATCGCTTAAAAACGTACTTTACATAGTTCGTGTTTTATATTAGTAAAGTGAAATACATTTTTGAAAATAGGTGATGCATGTGTCTGGTTACAATTTATATTTTATGCAGCCAACATTTACTTAGTTAGGGAAGTGATAAAAATTAAAAGGGTATCTTTTTTTTCGATTTTCATCCGACTATGTTTTCAAAATATTCTCGACTGTCGTCTCCATCATGTAGATGCATGTCTTTTTCGCACATATCGAAGCGGTTTGATGATCAAGACTCATTTTTGTCCCCCGCTTGAAAAGTGGGGGATATTAATTTGGGTTTGTCCGTCCGTCCGTCCGTCCGTCTGTCCGTCCGTCCGTCCGTCTTTCTGTCTGTCTGTAACGCTTTCGTTTCCACACGATATCTCGAGAACCCTTTGAGCTTTTGCAATGAAATTTAGCATAGCAACTCCCTATGGACTAAAAAAGACCCCTATTGATTTTGAGGTCAAAAGGTCAAAGGTCAAGGTCATAAATAAGCAAATTCTGTCTGTTAAAACACTTTCGTTTCCACACGATATCTCTAGAATCATTTGAGCTATTGCAATGAAATTTTACATAACAACTCCCTGTAGCCTAAAGAAGACCCCTATTGATTTTGAGGTCAAAAGGTCAAAGTTCAAGGTCGTAAATTTATACATTCTGTCTGTGTGTAATACTATCATTTCCGGGCGATATTTCAAGAAGATTTTGAGCTGATGCAATGTAATTTGATACCAAAACTCCCTAGGACGTCTCTCGCCCCTCTCAAAGTGCCTCGCCCCGTTTGTTTTATTAGTATTTATAGTGTTACATGTCGCTATTTTTAGCGCAGGGGCATGAGGAGAGTTATTGCGTATAAAACAGGTTCTCGGCGGACTTTAAGTTCTTATTACATCTATTAGAACTGTTTAATAAAGGCTAAATAAATCAAACACCATGGATTGTGTAAAATTTTGAGAATACCGAACATGAAAACATGAATATATACATGTATGTGACTTCAGTTCTGCATATACTTCCTTCCTCGTAAAGCCACTCCGTGGTCTAGTGGTTATGTCTCTCGCTTCAAATGTGAGAGGGCCCGGGATCGAATCTTGGTCGGACCGTTCTTTTTTTTCTTTTTTTTTTTTAAATCCTTTTTTTTTTTACTAAATGGTAGTATTCAGCATGTGAAATGAAAAATTTATGAGGTTAAAATCATCATTACAGTGTGATAAATAGTCCATATGAAAAAATCTTCTATACACATAATAAAGAATAAGCAATCAAATCTTTACATGCATATTGACATACATGTATTTTATTTCCTTCAGTATACATGTATACATTTAATAATTCTACAAATTCAGTCAGGGGGCCGGGAGCCGACTTTTTCCCTAAGCGGGGGACACGAATTCTCTGAATTAGCTTGTCATTGTTAACTTTATTCATTTCCCGGGAGACAATTGATAGTTATATCATTGTTTTCTTGTTTTATTTAGATATTGAGAAGGATATGGAAATAACGAACAGTATTCAATCTCAACGTCCATTAAACAATATACAAAGTAAGAGCAGAGCGAACACGGACCTCCGAAACATCAGAGGTGGGATCAGGTGTCATGGAGGAGTGAGCATCCCCTGCTGACCGGTCAGACCCGCCGTATGCTCGTTGTCATAATCAGGAAATAACGGAAAAAATCCGTCGTCAATTCAGTGTATAAATAATGGATTAACAATTGGTATGAAAAACGTCAGTCAGCATTTCATTCAATGATAAATTGTATTTGCTGACAAGGTCATTGTATCGACCATAGAATTTACGAAATGATGACTTTAAACGAGACTGTTGATATTCTTGTTTCATCAACTTGCTTGTCAATAATTTACCTCGTTTAAGAAATTGTTCATACGTAGAGCATGCTCTTGCGTATAGAATCAACTGAGATATATATACTCCGTATTATGCAGGTGATGAAGGTATATTGCTGCATAAGTAAGGGAAGTTGACGATAGAAAAGTTAAAGTCATCACGTTTATCATATAGCTTGGTTGTTAGATTACCATTAGTGTCTTTTTCAAGTAAAATATCCAAGTATGAAGCAGAAGTGTCGGACTCTGTGGTATCTTTTATATCAAGTTCACCAGGATATATCGTGTCGACGTAGGAATGGAAATTATCTTTATTAATTGACAATACGTCGTCGATATATCTAAATGTCGAATTGAAGGCCACAGCAAGTGTTTTCTTCTTTTCACGCATAAGATTTTGCATAAATTCTGCTTCATATAAATATAAAGATAAGTCTGCTAATAACGGAGCACAATTTGTACCCATGGGAATTCCAATAGATTGTTGGAATACCTGGTCTCCAAAAACCACATAGATATTGTCAATCAGAAACTCAAGCACCTTCTTGATGTCAACTTCAGAGTACTTATGTGTGCAATCAGAATCTGTTTTAACAAAATAATTTTTCAAATGACCAATGACGAGGTAAGTAAATTTACGAGTTCCATTTTTGTTGAAGAAGCAGCTGTCAATGATATCAAACAGCCTGGATTTTAATTTGTCGTGGGGAATTGTTGTGTATAAAGTTGAAAAGTCGTAAGTTTTTAAGCTGTTGATTTTTGTAAAGTCTTGTGATTTCAAATTGTCCAAAAGTTCTTTAGAATTTTTAAGTATCCACATCTGATTTACACCACTTCTTGAATATATAGTTGTACAGTACTCTTGAAGTTTTCCCTTCACTACTGTCAATATTTTAGTGAGAAGTAACGAAAGAGGCTTGGTTGAACATTTACTGGAACCTGCAATGTATCTTTGTTTGTAAGGATTCTTATGAAGTTTCGGAATCCAATATATATAAGGTAGTTCAAATTCATTTTGGCTCTGTGGAATATTAAAAGTATTCAAAACTGACAGGTGATTTTGAAGAATTTCTTCCTTAGAAAGAGAAGTATGAGTATAAGTAGGATTACCACTTGTAGAATTAAATCAAAGTTCTTCTAGAATGCAAATAATTTAATCTAATGGATATTTTGCAAAAACAAGTAAAAATAAAAAGAAAAGTAAAGATTTATTTGTCTGGTAATCATAAAGAAAAAATACAATAAACTAAAAGATATACACACAGTAAAACCAGCAGAATTCCTGTTCTATTAGCCTCTAAGAATTTTTCTTTGAATCATACATGTACATGATGTATAATTATAAGTTATTATATCAATTCACTTTTATTTGTCTATCATTTTCTTTATATGAGCATTGAAAACAGCAAAATCACTATCTGTAAAATACATTCAACATTCATTTAAACACATATTACAGAATTAGTTTACCTTTCAATTATACATTTTTACAATAATAGAAAAAAAATCATGTGAATAACAAAGAGGGAGTAAAATATAGATTTCCCTAAATATTTAGTACTTTAATGCATAGCACCAGAGCCTTTGAACTAGTGTCATGGATTTCACAAATCTATAAAAACTTCCTTGCTCAATACAACTTTGTACAATAATATATACTCGAGGGTAGAGAAGATTTTTAAGGGAATGATGCATAATCACTTTAAATGATCATTTTAACGTGAATTTCACAGTCTTTGTTCATCATTACCTTCTCGAGCATGCATGTTGAGTAACATCTATCATTCATTTTTAAAATAAATTCTCGCTGATGAAACCCAATGATAAATTAATAACCCTAAGTATCTGATGAAATTGTAGCTCTACTGTTTACATATAACAAAAGAATCAGGCAGCATTAAATAGAACTAGAATTGTCCAAAAGGAACGAAATATCCCCCTGGGTTTTTTAGAGAAGGTGTCGAATCAAGAATATTTATGGACCTAAGAGAAGAAAGAAATGCTAAAAAAAAATGTGTACAAATATAATTGCTCATTATATTTTTTATGAATGAAACGAAGGTGCAGTATAATAAAAATGAATACGAAAGATACAGACCAGACACGAATTATGACCTTTTTCTGTCAGTGACCTTAAACTTGCATTAATGACCTTGGTTCAGAAGCATACCCTTAGGTCATAAGCAATTTTTGTGTAAAATGGGAATTCATATTTATCCATAAGAAATACATAGAGCGGGCATGATTTATATTTTTTGTCAGTGTCATTGAACTTATTCAAATGACCTTGGGTCAAAGTCATGACACACACTCATGTCAAAAGCAATCATTGTTTAAAACAAGAACCCTCCATGTTTATCAATAAGAAAGATATGGACCAGGCACAAACTATGAACTTTTTTCTTTCAGTAACCTTTAACTTGCACTAATGACCTTGGGTCAAAGACATGTCACACCTTCAAGACATTAGCAATCTTTGTGTAAAACAGAAACTTACCAAGTTTCATGAACCGAACATGAATTATGAAATTTTTCTTTCAGTAACTTTGAATTTAAATGACGTTGGCTTAAGATCCTAACACACCCTCAGGTCATAAGCCATCTTTGTGTGAAGAAGTAGGTTCAAGTTTTTCCAGAAGAAAGATATGTACCAATTATGAATTTATGAAATCTTTCTTCAGTGACCTTGAACTTCCCCATATGACCTAAGGTCAAGGTCTTGACACACCCTTAGATCACGAGCAATCTTTTGTGAAATGGGAACTTACCAAGTTTATCCAGAAGAATGATATGGAGCGGAAACGAATTATGGAATTTTTCTTTCAGTGACTTTGAACGTCTCCAAATGACTTTGGATCAAGGCCATGCCACATTCTTAGGTCATGAGCAATCTTTGTGTGAAGTAATAGATTCTAATGTTCCTCCGTAAGAAAGATATAGACAGGACACGTTTGCACAGACAGACATACAGCTAGACGGAAAAGATGATTCCTATATACCCCCAAACTTCGTTTACGGTGGGTATAGTTATGTACCTAAGTGTATTCTAGTAGTCTGGTATGACAATTTTTATTGATGTTAATCCAAATGTAGCATTTTGAAAGTATTTCTAAGAAAATTTTAGTAACCGTTGTAACAGCATTCATTGGAGACGAAAACCAATGCACTAAATAATGTACATGTACCTCACAAGTTATATTAAAATCAGACCAAAACTGTCGACGGGATAGCATTTTAAAGAATTTCAAGAAATTTCTAGTTTTAGTAATGATGAAACGGAGAAAATTTTCAGCCATAAAGTAACAAAAAAAATGTTATTGAATAGCAATCAGTAAAACCGATGTAAAGTTAAATCGAAACTTCTGGTGAAAACTGAAATAACGACAATTTTCATTAGTGACTACATGTAAAAATGCTTTTTGACTAAAGTAAATGTTTCGATTTTTAGTGATCTTACAACAGATACAATTACAGAACAGGTACTTAAAAGTTCTCTTTTATAAATTATTTCGTGCCTTCCGACAGAATGAATCTTAGTCGAAACTAGCTCGAGAGAAATGTCCTTTGTATATACGAGTCCGAGGTACAGTTGTATATAATAGATAGGGACGTTAACGAGACTTTTACTCGTAGCAATAAAAATACGACGTTTTCTAAATTTACAGGAAAATAGAAGATTTAAGCCAAAATACCACAACCCCTCATGACCCAGAGGTAATGTTTCAAATTTTGATTGATTAATTGTATAACTTGTTTAACGTCCCTCTCGTTCAAATTTTTAAAAATGGAATCTTGCTGCTCCTCATAACATGCACTTAACTTTGTCTACTAAAAACCAAGGAGTAAAGAATTAAAAGAAGAAAATTCATTTTCTTTATATCAACAAAGGGGGCCTATTCTAAAACCAGAACCCCTCACACTGGACTGATGAATTTACAATTTTGGAAGTATTCTTGATTATCATATGCAGGGTATGGGAATTGAGAAGAGATTTCAAAAATCTATGCATATTTTCGATATGATCAAAGAATAGAAAGATAGACCAGAGGTATGTTTTCCAAAAGAACTTACGACCAAGACTAGAAAGTTAAAATGATTATAAGATTTTGCAAAATTACTTATTCAGTTTAAAATTGCTAGGTAAAATATGTTTCTGTATTTCTTTTTTTTTTTAAAATCTTTTTTGAGATCAATAATATTTTTCAATTCAATGGATATTAAAAAGTTAAGGGCAGAACTTAGTTTGGTCCGTAGTCATAAATACTGTGTAAAACAGGCCCCCTGTCCTAATGTATCAACTTCATTCTTTAAAAAAAAATACATACACTGTATATAAATACTCGTATATATTCTTAACATTCTTAACAAAGTTTAAAGAACAGTTTTTCAAAGTAAGTGTACATCGATTTTCATAAATGAATCTTTTTTTTGACAAAAGGATATAAAAATATGACTAAACAAAAGCAAAAGTTGTTTATCGCATATACAATATCTCTGCATAAAAAACAAACAATAACAATAAACAAACAAAACTAATTTATATGGCAATTTAGGCAGACGTAAAATTTTCTATAAACTCTGACTATGGCGATCATAAATATTACTGATTGATTCTTTACTCTTTACAGTAAAAAATATTAGAATTAAAAAAATATTTTAGGTACCATATATTTTAATTATCTTTAAAAGACGTATTCACATATACATTTCCCTGGGATAGCATCTTGGAATTCGCATAAACACTGTCTTTTCCACCTACAAATTGAATAAATTATTTGTGGATCCTTTTGTTCAGGAAAATTAATAAACATTGCATAGAATAAAGAAAATGTTCTTAAATTTTGCAACATTTGGCGCCTAAGCAATAAATTTAAAAAATAAAATTAAAAATTCATTTTGGAGATCGACAGAACTTTTTTACTATCATAGATAGAAAAAAAATTCGTGGACATTGAACTCCCGATGATATGCATTATGCCGAGATTATAGATACGCATGATAAGATAATCGATCCGTAAAAAAACGTCACTAGTGCAATGAAATCTTTCTTAAAACTAATTAGTAGGAAAAGTCAACAAAAGTTACCTTGTTGCCTGAATATTTCATTCACATTTAGTTCTTCTACTTTTTAAAATATTTCAAAAAACATTCAGTAGATTATTTTTATCTTTTCACAAAACAGATTGATAAAGTATGTATCAGTGCTTTCTTGTCGCTATGGTGGATAGTACACCTACTCAAATTGCTAATGAAGACATATTAAATTTTTACAGGCCCTTAACGGAAATTCTGTACGTAGGTCTCTAAAACATGATTTTATTAAACGGAAAGTTTTTTTATTTTATTGCTTTTGTAATGATAAATACATTTCACTTTATGTTAGCCCCCTCATAAATCTAAGATTGTATAACAACAGCTGTAATGATAGAAGAAAAAAATTAAATTAACTCGCAAATGCGGCATATTTTTTTTGGCAGTGATGCAACCTTTCTTTTCCATATACCATAACAAAAACACATATTATTTAAATAAATACTTCTTGCGAAACATATTAGTGTTTTTTTTTTCAATTTTCAATGAAATTAATAGATTCAAGAGTTTTTGCTTTCATTATTGATTTTCAATATTTTCAGTAAAGATATGTTACCTTTAGGACTTGTAATTTCATACTTGCTTTCTTCTTTCTGGGGTTGTAGATCTGTAATGTTCAAAAATGATGTTCCGTCACAAATCATATATTGATATAGTAGGCTTCTGGTTTTTTTTGTTGGATTTTCTTTTGGTTTACTTATTTTAGACCTTAACTCTGAGAATTACTTACCCGGACATTCTGTTTTCTAAAATATAATAAGATAATTTAAGTAATACTCTGATAACTGAATAACATGAAATCAAAAGAATTTACAATAGATTCATTTGCAAAGTCTTTAGTGATAGAATTGTACATACTGTTTGGTGTTCGAACAGCAGCATAACCGTTTTCCTGTTCACGTCTATTCTGATTTAGCTCTTCATACTGGGCGCTGAATGAATCAATTTAACATTATCAATTTAAATTAACACAATGACGAGTCAATATCAAAAAGTACCCTACAGTAGCATACTGCATAAACATAAAAAAGCAATGGCATTAAAAAATACAGTCTTAAAAAGTAAAAAAAAAATTGAATAAAATGTAGCTGTTTTGCATTAAAGCGTACATTAATTATAAGTCATTAATTATATTCCCTGCATTTGTGTTAGCCTGCTAGTAAAACGTTTATTTATAGAATATGACGCAGACAGGGATACCTGATGAAAACCTTTCGCATATTTTAAACACATATTTAATCGAAGAAAACGGTAGAAAGTATATTACTAAAATATTTTTTGACATGTTCAGATAACTTTGAAAATTTAATTTAGTATTTGTATTGCCTCAATGTGATTGCGCAAACGTACGTATTACATTCTAACGCGTAATGTGATTAAGCGGCATTTCCGCTTGATCACTGTATTTTTATAAGCAAAAGCCGGGCATTGCTCCATGAGCAATGAGTCCAGTTATAATAAATAATAACAAATCATATTTAATCATACTAGACTTCCGATCAATTTTTAATCACGATTTTCATTTGGTTTACTCATTATTGAAATTAACTCTGAGAACTACTTTCCCGGAAATTCTGTTTTCTAAAATGAAATAAGACAATTCAAATAATATTTTTACAACTGTTAACAGGAAATTAAAAGAATTTTGAATATATTTATTAGCAAACTCTTTACTGATAGAATTGTACATACTGTTTGGTGTTCGAATAGCATCATAACTGTTTTCCTGTTCACGTCTATTCTGATTTAGCTCTTCATACTGGGCGCTGAATGAATTAATTTAACATCAATTTAAATTTACACAATGACTTGTGTGTAACAAAAATTACCCCAAAGTAGCAAAATACTGCATAAACGATGGATATGGAGAGAACGAACAGTTTTCAATATCGAAGTCCATAAAACAAAATAGGAGCAGAGCAAATACGGACCTCGGAAACATCGGAGGTGAGATCAGGTGCCATGGAGGAGTGAGCATCCCCTGCTGTCCGGTCACACCCACCGTGTGCTCCTCGTCATGATCGGGGAAAAAGCAATATCACTAAAATTAAGTTATAACTTAAAAAGGAAAGGGAAGCAGGCAAAGCTAAGTGACAGAGACAGTCGCGGCATTTTAAAGTTGGTGAAAGAAAACAGAGAGAAATAAATCAGACATAGCAGCCTTATTAAATGAAAATAGAGACTCTGCTATATCTAAACGGACAGTCCAACGAAATTTGTACAAACAAGGGTATTTTAGAAGAGTTGTTCGAAATCGCAACAGAATTCGCGAAGTGAACAGAAAAGCACGACTCTGGTGTAGGGGAAACAGATACAAAACTATCGATAATTTCTGGAACAGAGTGATCTTTAGTGATGAATGCAAAGTGGATGTGACTTGGGACTGATAACCGTGTGTTTATATGGAGAAAGGTGGGCGAAGAGTTGATGCCATGTTGTATCTCGCAAACTCCAACACCGAAGTTTAGCTTAATCGGATATGGGGCTGCATCACTTTCAACTGTGTAGGGATTGTGACTGTTGTAGATGGTAGCATTAATACATTGATATAATTGAAGGTCAACTTTGGCCAGTTATAGCACGCCATTTTCCTCGAAATAACTATACATTTCAAGATGACAACGCCCCTATTCAAAGAGCCCGAATAGTTCAAGAATATAAATTACAGAATAATATGCATTCAATGGTTTGGCCCGCTCAGAGTCTGAATTTGAACATTATTGAAACTATCTGGTTGAGACTGAAAAGAGAACTGGAAAACGGCAACGAAATATTCCTGTGTAAAAATCAGCTGGAGACAGCCATTCGATGTATCTGAATAAACATCCCGATTTATTATGTTCAGGGCTTATACAGGTCGATCCCAAGAAAGTTCTAAGGTCAAAAGGCTATATAACTAAGTATTAAGGTAAGAAAAAATATTCTGTAATTTTATTTCTGTTTTATTTTTCCGAAGCGTCTTGTTACTACGGCGGCCATTTTGAATTTGGACGAACACGTATGGCACATCACTGTATCTTTTACCTTGAATTCGTTAGATCTATAGTAAGTATTAAATTTTTATGACCTTTTGAATTGATTATTTTCAAGAGAAAAAGAAAGATTTCCCTGCATTTATAACAATATAACTGAAAATTCTAACCTTCATATCGTATGCATCACGTAAGATACTGTCTTGTGTTTTAAAATTAGGCTTTTGACAAACACATTGATGAAACTAGGACATCAACAGTCTCGCTGAATGTTATCATTTCTCCTGTTCTATGGCTCTATACAATGACCTAGACAGCAAACAAAATCTATCCTTAACTCGAATGCTGGTTGACGTTTTTCATACTGATTGTAAGGCTATTTTTAATAACTAAATTGTTAATGGGTTTTTCTATTTGCCTGACGGTTAATACACAGCCGATATGACCAGAAGTTAGGGGATGTTTGCTCCTCCCTGGCACTTGATCCCAACTGAGATGATTTGTGCTGTTTACTGGACTTTTGAAATTGATGTCTGAGTGTTCGTTATCTTCATATTTAATACAGAGTGTTTTGCCACTTTCGATTAAAGACAATATACTGCTTTCAAGACTTTAAATCTTTTAAATTTACAATACCTTCCAACTTGTAATAGATACACTACCTCATCTCTGCTCCAAGACCTTAAATCATCAAAAGAAAAATGAAAGAAAAGTCAAGTTGCACACATTTAAGAGTCACATTTAGGAAACAATATACATGTAATAAATTTGCACGTACCTGGTAATCTTGAGAGACTGTCTGATGCATTCATTTTCGCCCCACTGCGAAAAAAAATTCTTAATTATGCATACTGAAACAATCTGATTCTAAAAAAATTCTTCAAACATATATACAATGTATTTGTGCTAAAGCATAAGGTGAAGCATAAATACTAGTAATACTTAAATAAATCTTTAAGTCTATTGAAAAAAGATCGACTGATTGATACTGTACATGCATCACAAGATTTGACCAAAATCAACAGCTTAAAAACTTTAAGTTGACATTCAACAGATGTTTGATTCTTTGATTGACAATAGCTATGTGGATTTTGGAGACCTGGACTTGGAGCCATAAAAGTAAGTAGATCTCACTTTTGATCTCAGTCTCACTTTTCCACTATATATTTCTTTGGTAAAAGTGAGAATGAGATAAAAAAAATTAACTCGTCTAACTTTTATGGCCCCCAGGCCAGGTCTTCCATTTTCCAACAATTTCATGGAATTTCCATGGGTACCAGTTGCGCCCAGTTAAAAGAAGTGACCTTCAACTCGACATTTATGAAATATCCCGGTGAGCTTGAGATAAAAGATACCATAGAGTCTAGCACATCTTTTTCATATTTGGATATTTATGTTCCCCAAACGAAGTTGGGGAACATATTGTTTTTACTCCGTTTCTTATTATTATTAAGGTCTTCCGTCTCCAACGGAAGACCTTCTACTGATTCTGTTGTTTCTTTTCCACTATTATTATTATTTTTTTTTTCTTACCGATTTTGTGCAGGCGATTTCTCGAGAACGCCTCGACAGATTTTCATGAAACTTTCAGCAATGATGGCAAATCATATGAACTTACGGCGTTTTTTTTTTTATTTTGCCGTAGTCACTTCCGGTCGCGAGATACGGCCATTTTTCTTTTTTTAAAGTGTCATTTTGTCCGGAAGTGTTCTCAAAAACGGCTAGAGATTGAGTCTTGAAACTTTCAGGGATGATAGATTGCGACAGGCTCTATTGAATTTTGTATAAAGTTTTCGTTGCCGTCACGTCCGTTGTCCACCGGAAGTAGTTTAAAAATATGCAAAATTTTATTTTTTTCTTTTGTAAATGTTTCTTATGGAGGCAAATAGAGTGTCTCGAGTAATATTATGTCCACCGGAAGTTATTTCTTCAAAACCGGAAGTAGTCCAAAAAATGAGCATTTTTCATCGAAATTATAATGGATGATTCCTTAACACTCAGAGAGGAGTTATGGGTCATTTTAAGTACTTCCGGTCACACCGGAAGTGAATTATAAAGACCGGAAGTTGTCTGAAATTAACAGATTTCACTCTTAAATGTGTTTTCACGTGTTTTGAGGAATGGATATGAACATTTTTTTCGTTAAAAGTTGTTTTATGATCGTATCAAAAATCGAACGGAAGACCTACTCGTTGCTCGCAACGAGATCTCCTCTAGTTATTATTATTATTATTATTATTATTATTTTTCTTCTTCCTGGGAAAATCTTTTCCGTGAATGATCTTGTAAACTACACGTCCGACTTAGGTGAAACCTTTTTAGGGTCAGTAGGCATGTTATGTAGATTGGCGAACAAAGGTCATTTTGCGCGCACGTGCTTGCATGAGCGCGCACGTGCAACGCGTGAAAAGACCAAAATAATAGATACAGCCGTAACTTTTCTATTTTTTGATTATATGCTTTCATACTCATAATATAAGTATATATTAGTAGTATAGACGTGTTGACATGGTCCAAATAGCAAGATCTCATGCGCATGCACGTGCGCTTCGCTCTGATTGGCTGAAACTAAAGTCTCAATATCTTTCTTGTTTTTCGTCATAATCCTTTGAAATTTTGAACTCAGTCACACATTATGAAGATCTACAGCATGATATATAATAATTTTCATGAAAGCACGTACATGCGCGTGTGCTGGCAAGAGCGCGCACGTGCAACATGTGAAATTACCAAGATAATGGATGAAACCGTAACTTTTATATTTCTTAATGAAATTTTTTGAAACTCACAATGCATGAATAAAGTAGTAGTATGGACAAGATGACATGGTCAAAATTGCAAGATCTTACGCGCATGCACGTGCGCTTTGCTCTGAATGGCTGAAACTAAAGTCTCAATATCTTTCTTGTTTTACGTCATAATCCTCTGAAATTTTGAACTTAGTCACATATTATGAAGATCTACAGCATGATATATAAGAATTATCATGAAAGCACGTAAATCCACGTGTGCTGCAATGTGATTGGCTGAAACTTTACATGCCTATATCTTTCTTGTTTCTCAACAAAACAGGATGAAGTTTAGAATATTAATAGCTATTATGGATTCCTAATTAATATTGCTATCAAAATTGAATGCAAGGACGTGCTTGCATGCACATGCGCACACGCAATGCGTAAAATGAACAATATGTTTGAAAAACGGTAACATTTATATTTTTATGACTTTTTATTGATTTCTGGAATATAAAGATATGTTAATGGTTTAGACAACATGTCATGATCACTTTGCATGTGCATGCACGTGCGTTTGCGAACAATGCGTTAAATGACAAAAAGTTAATATCATTGTAGTTTTTAAAATTCTTTCATGAAATCCTGCTATACTAAGCATATTGAAAAAAGTTTTAAAGGAAATTTGCACAAAAAGGGAGTTGGGGAGCGTTTGGGGAACATCTGTAACGGTCCCCGTTACAATTAGAACTAGTTTACTTGAAAAATACATTAATGGTAATCTGTTAACCATGATTTTAGATAAATATGATAATTATATCTTTACAATCGTCAACTTCCCTAACTTATGCAACAATATTACTTCATCGTCTACATACGAAGTTAAAATTCATTTAGGTTCTTTGGGACATAAAAATATTCAAAACTAACATATCATTTTGAAGATTTTTTTTTATTACAAAGGGAACTATGAGTATAAATAGGATTATCACTTTTAGAATTAAATCTAATTTCTTCTAAAATACAATTTATATAATGAGCCTTACGAACGAAGACAATGTTGTTACCTGATTTGTCAGCAGTACGTATTGATCATGTAAGCTATCTAATACTTTTTTCACTACTGTATTATTGAGTACAGAAGGATAGATGGTTTTCATATTACGCATCAATCTTTTAATACGTAACTTTAACATGGATCTGATACATTGAATTCATTTTGAAAGAGTGTCAATTAACGTCTTCTTTTTCATTTCTAGCCCATGGCCTGGCATAATCATCAACAGAACCCATAATATTTATTAAATTCTGACTCCATTTGAAGCATTAGGGTTCCCTATATTTAGGACTTTTCAAATTGCGCGGATTTAGAGCCCCCCCCCCCCCCCGGAATTTGCAAAGTTATTAAATTGAAAAAAGTGACTTTGAACCAACCCCTAGAAAACGCAATCCCCCTCCCCCTCGAAAACGTACACATGTGTTAAGTTGGTATGAAAAGTAATACCGGTAGGTATGAAACATAAGAAGTCTATCCCTACCAACGTACCCCCTTCTCCCTCCCCCCCCCCCCCATACACACACATACACGTATATGTAATGAATTTTCACGTTTTGGACGAATGGAGCTGTTTTTTGCATGTTAACAAATTTCTGAGTTTGATTTTTTTTTCTTGGCTGGGCCGGACCCCACACTGGAATATATTCCTGCATCTGCGCCTGTAAGGTCCTCATTAATAACGTGCCCACCTTTGATAACGTGTCAAGCACTACTATAATTATAGGATAAAGAAGAACAAAGAAGAACACTTTTGAGGATATAAACATAGGAATCAAATAACAAGAGGCCCATGGGCCACATCGCTCACCTGAGTAACTTGGGTGATGCAGTTCTTACCAGATTCCCCCTCTTGCTATACCTATCATGCCCCACTACCCCCTTCCCTTTTATGATTTTAAGAATTTAATATCTACACTACCCATGCTCCCATATAAGTTTCAGCTTTCCTGGCCCAGTGGTTCTTGAGAAGAAGATTTTTAAAGATTTGTTCTACTAGTATATATTTCTATGTAAAACTTGGATTCCATATTGTGGCCCCGCCCTATCCACGGGGGTCATGATTTTAACAATTTAATATCTACACTACCCAAGGATACTTCCAAAAAACTTTTAGCTTTCCTGGCCCAGTGGTTCTTGAGAAGAAGATTTTTAAAAATTTGTTCTATATATTTCTATGTAAAACTTGGATTCCTTATTGTGGCCCCGCCCTACCCCCAGGGGTCATGATTTTAACAATAACAATTTAATATCTACACTATTCAAGGATGATTCCACATAAGTGTCAGCTTTCCTGGCCCAGTGGTTCTTGAGATGAAGATTTTTTAAAGATTTGTTCTATATATTTCTATGTAAAACTTGGATTTCCTATTGTGGCCCCGCCCTACCCCCGGGGGTCATGATTTTAACAATTTGATATTTACACTACACAGCCAATTGTGCCTAATGTTAATTTAGTGTTAATCTCAATTAACATTAAATTAACGTAAGCTTGATGTTAGTTAAATATTACTTTCGTGTTAAGTTAACATTAAAAAGGTTAACATTAAATTAACGTTAACTTTTAACGTTAATTTAACTTAACATTAATTTCATGTTAATTTTTAACGTTAAGTTAACTTAACATTAATTTCATGTTAATTTCTAACATTTAATTAACATTAAAATTTTAAGTGAGCTTGGGTTCTGTCTTAAAAAACTAGAACCAAAATATTAACATTAGATTAACGTAAATTAGTTAATGTTAATTTCATGTTAATGTGAATTTAACGTTAATTCTGTAATGTTAATTTCATGTTAATTAGAAAAACACGAGATTAATGTTACTATTCAAATTTTAGACCTAACTTCAAACAATACTTGCCAATCATTTTAGTGACAATTAATTAATTATTAAGATGTCCATATGTGGATACTCAAGACCGCCGGGGTTGGGGGTTGGCGGTTGAGGGGGGGGGGGGGTATTGGCACTTGTGTCGGAAATAAATTTTTAACCCCAATATATTAAGATAACAGTTGAGTTAATATTATACCATAGGTTCAAAAAGTATTTCCGACACAAGTGCGTGTGTGTTTGTGTAAGGTTGTGTTACACGTGTGTGTTTGGGAAAGGGGGTGCTCTAACTGTTAGCACCCTCTTCACCTCATCCATTTTTAGCTCACCTGAGCCGAAGGCTCAAGTGAGCTTTTCTGATCACATTTTGTCTGTCGTCCGTCCGTCTGTCCGTCCGTAAACTTTTCACATTTTCGACTTCTTCTCAAGAACCACTGGGCCAATTTTAACCAAACTTGGTACAAAGCATCCTTGGGTGAAGGGGAGTTTAAATTATTAAAATGAAGGGCCAAGTCCCCTCCAAAGATAATCAAGAAAAGACAAAAATAGGGTGGGGTCTTGAAAAAATCTTCTTCGCAAGAACCACTGGGCCAGAAAAGCTGAAACTTATATGGAAGCATCCTAGGGTAGTGTAGATTCTAAATTGTTCAAATCGTGACCCCCGGGGGTTGGGCAGGGCCACAATAGGGAATCAAAGTTTTACATAGAAATATATAGGAAAAAACTTTAAAAATCTTCTTCTCAAGAACCACTGGGCCAGAAAAGCTGAAACTTATGTGGAAGCATGCTGGGATAGTGAAGATTCTAAATTGTTCAAATCGTGACCCCCGGGGGTTGGGCGGGGCCACAATAGGGAATCAAAATTATACATAGGAATATATAGGAAAAAACTTTAAAAATCTTCTTCTCAAGAACCAGTGGGCCAGAAAAGCTGAAACTTATGTGCAAGCATCCTGGGGTAGCCTAGATTCTAAATTGTTCAAATCATGACCCCCTGGGGCTGGGCGGGGCCACAATAGGGAATCAAAGTTTTACTTAGAAATATATAGGAAAAATTTAAAAAAAATCTTTTTCTCAAGAACCATTGGGTCAGAAAAGCTGAAACTTATGTGGAAGCATCCTGGGATAGTGTAGATTCTAAATTAAACAAATTGTGACCCCCAGGGGTTCGGTGGGGCCACAATAAGGAATCAAAGTTTTACATAGAAATATATAGGAAAATTCTTTAAAAATCTTCTTCTCAAGAACCAGTGGGCCAGAAAAGCTGAAACTTATGTGGAAGCATCCTGGGATAGTGTAGATTCTAAATTATTTAACTCGTGACCCCCAGGGGTTGGGCGGGGCCACAATAAGGAATCAAAGTTTTACAAAGAAATATATAGGAAAATTCTATAAAAATATTTTTCTCAAGAACCAGTGGGCCAAAAAAGCTGAAACTTATGTGAAAGCATCCTAGGGTAGTGTAGATTCTAAATTGTTCAATTCATGACCCCGGTGGGTAGGACGGGGCCATAATTTGGAATCACAATAGGTTATTACAAGGGGGAAATCTGGTAAAGAACAGCATGGTCAAAGCTACTCAGGTGAGCGATGTGGCCCATGGGCCTCTTGTTTTTCATACATTCTTAAAAAAGTAAATTATCTAGACTTAGATTATAAGCTCTATGTCTATCTTTCAAAATGTCAACTTGGATTTGGATTTTTTCCGGCTAAAAATGGTCCGTGGCTTTTATCAGGATCGGTTTTATTTTTATCGGACGAAACTGTACGTCATGTTTGACGTCATCAGCTGAAATTGAAAACACAGGGAAGAAGGATTTATCAAGTCTCTGTTAAAAGTAAGTATTTTGTAGTCTTTTAATATTACGTTTTTGAGAGTTTCATAATTTCAGAGGTCCCTAAATGTTTGAACTTTATGTACAGCAACATAACGCATAATTACTCAACAGTCCTTGCAGGCTACTATGTCACTAGGCTGTGAACGACGTGCCAGATCTCTGCTATGTTGGATATTTGTATATATCAGCATTACTATTTTTATTAGGTCTATTTATTGTTCAGTTGGTTAAATTTGTTTGAACACTGAAGCCTCCGGTACAGCTGTACTGCCGCCCTACGTACGATACGGAGAAAATTCGAAAGTGAAAATAGAAATCGTGTACAAGTTAACAATAACCATCTCGAAGTTGAAGTTAAACATGCAATGTGAGCGATGTTTTCCCTGATTCTAACAGTTCATCTTAATTGGTTTCATCATTATCGAGAGAAAAAAAAAACCGATTTGATATTTATTTTTATTGTATTTTAAACAGCTGGAACTCGGTATCACATCTGACTCGCACTTCTGAAATGGATCAAATCGGACTTTGTCGTCGAGACTCGGAAGAACCCAGCTGCCTAAATTATAATGCCAGTGGAACACAAAACAGGTATTGAAAGTGGAACAAAATGTAAACAATTCTCACAGTATTGAGTAAATTTAATGACAGTGAAATTTACATTCACACACCCAACTGATTTTTTAAAATACCAGTTAAGTACTTGTCACTAGGCCTACTTGACACTTGTCAATATTTTGTTCAGAAATATTTTATAAGCATTAAAAATTTATTAAATCAAGATTTTTTCTTTTACTGCATATTACAGAAAAGATACTTGTATGCAAGACATAGAAAAGAGCAGACTACAGCCTCTATATACCATTCCTTGGTGCCTCCTTGAATTGATGTTTTTCAGGATAACCATGCAGGAATAAAGGTTATTTATGAAATAGTACATACATAGCGTATTCATAATTTTCATTTAGAAAAATTTTATAACTTGATCTAGAGTTTATGCTAAAGAGACAAATTTAAAGTCAAGTTGCTTTCACTGTACTAAAAGTTTGCTTTGAATCAGACACTGCACATAATATCATATATGTTGAAAATATTACATTTCAAATAAATGATTTTTAATTATTTTTTTTATATTGTAGGTTAACTCAGTATAAAGTCTTGCTGACATGAACATGATAATCACAAGAAAGTGAATATATTTTACCTTAAGCAATCTTCAAAATACCAGGTTTTTTTTCTGAACACATATCAAATATTTAAAACCATTTAATATGTCACCCCTAAATTTTTTTGAAAGTATACTGAAACACAATGTCTGTTTGCCATCACTGTTTAGTAATATATATATAAAATACATGGTTACTGTCTTAAATATAAGCGATATTTGGGCGAGGGTAAATAACGTGATAAAGTGCATTTATTCTGAACACATATCAAATATTTAAAACCATTTAATATGTCACCCTGCAACATATTTTTTTGAACGTTCAAAACTAGCTATTTTCGAAATTTACACATCTCTGCAGTTTGACACCATGGAGTAAACATGCAGTATACGTGACGTCACAATGCTTTTCAAACGTAATATATATGGAAGTATATAGTTTTTAAAAGCTATTAGGTTACCTTTATTAGGTCAGTGCAAGGGGTGGTTGCAGGATAAATGGAAGTATATAGTTTTTATATACTAGTAGCTTTTTAGTTCACCTGAGCTGAAAGCTCAAGTGAACTTTTCAGATCACATTTTGTTCAGCGTCTGTCTGTCCATCTGTTAACTTTTCACATTTTCAACTTCTTCTGAAGAACCACTAGGCCAGGAAAGATGGAACTTAAATGGAAGCATCTTCAGATCTCAGATAGTGTACTTGAAAGCCTCTTCAACCGGGGGGGGGGGGGGCAATGGACTTTCTGTCTTATATACTTAAGAAATAAGGTATTTTTAAACATCTATTCGGATATAAATATCGGTTGGTCATGACTCACAAGATTAAATTCCATAAAGCCTGAAGGGCTTTATCATGAATTTAATCTCGTACCAACCCGTATTTATAGCCCTTTCGATGTTTTAAAATGATACCATATTACTTATACATATATTACATTTGTGACTTATTCATACTTTATATTTGCCTGATCACGCTGTTTGTGGCTTTTGCAAAATGCAAAAAAATGCAAGATGCATTATTTTTCAAAACCAATGGCATGTATACAAGACACTGAATGAGTGTCGACCCTTTATGACGTCACTGAGAAATTCCGTTGAACATTTATCGATACGCACATCTATCACCTCTTGACCCCTGTAGTGTAGATTCAAATTTGTTCCCAAGTTTTATATAGGAATGCATAGGAAAAACCTTTTTAAAATCTTCTCCGAACTTATGTGGAATCATCCTCAGGTAGTGTAGATTCAAGTTTGATCAAATCATGACCCCCGGGGGTTGGATTGGGCCACAATGGCCGACCAAAATTTTTACATAGGAATGCATAGGAAAAACCTTCTAAAAATCAGAACCATTAGGACAGGAATGATTAATCTCATGACGTGATGTGGAAGCATCCATAGGTACTAAATGTAGATTCAATTTGTTCAAATCATGACCCCTGGGGTTAGGGTGTGGCCACAATGAGGGATTACAGACTTGCATAAGAATACATAGGAAAAAGAATCTCCAGAACAGAAAAAAATTGTTTTGTCGAATTGACATGATCTGCAAGTAGTAAAAATTTATATTTATTCAAATAATGCCCCGGGGATTGTGGGTTAGCGAGGGGTCACAATGGGAGATCAGGTAATGTGTTGGAAAAATCTTTAAAAATCTTCTTTTCAAGTATGGCAAAATAATATATGTATGCTGTATTGTAATAGTGACCTTTTCAAGTAATAGAAAATTCAAATCCCCCTCCCCCCAATAAGTATAAAGTAAACTTCTCAATACTTAACTGATCTGTTTTTTTTAGCTAACCCATGTGCTCAGGTAAGGGATGTGGCCAATAGACCTCTTGTTTCATTCATTATATTTTAGACAAATTTGAGTTGTTAATGTATTGCTGAAGTATTTTTATGTGCCCGGTATTTATATTGTTTTTGTCCTGTCTGTTTGTCTGTTTGTCTGTCTGTCTGTTGTCAACTTTAACCTTCGCCAAAACTTTTGAACCATAAGAGATAGAGACTTCATAATTGGTATGCTTACTCCACTAATAAAGTTCTTTCAAATGACATCAAGGTCAATGATCTTGTGACCTTGACTATGACCTATATGCTAAAAATAGCTTTTTCAACTGTTTGTCATAACTTTTGAACCATAAGAGATAGGGACTTCATATTTGGTATGCATACCCCACTAATAAAGCTCTTTCAAATGACATCAAGTTCCAATGACCTTGTGACCTTGACTGTGACCTATATACTAAAAATAGCTTTTTCCACTTTTTGCCATAATTTTTTAACCATAGGAGATAGGGGCTTCATATTTAGTAAGCGTACTCCACTAATTAAGTTCTTTCAATCAACAACAAGGTCAATGACCTTGACTGTTACCTATATACTAAAAATAGCTTTTTCGAACTTTGTTGACGCCGGGCGCATAGTGTTTCACAAACACATCTTGTATTTTCATATAATTATTATAATATGAATGTATTTGCCTCTCTTATTTTTCAGATTGGAAAAAGAAAGAAGATTTGTAGCATTGTATTGAATATGCCTGATTAAAAGTATTAATAGATGAATTGGTGTTTTTCTTTTTTCTTCAGAAAATTTGAAATCGGAGGCAATGCTCAGAATTTTATGAGATATTGTTGAAGGAGCTGATGGGTCCCTTTATCCTTTTGGATATATTCAAATTGAAAAGAAAGTGACACCATGGATGAAGTCAACATGCAAGCCTAGCTTTCTGCAGTGCTACAAGGAAAAGTGCAAAATTGATGAGCTTCTGGTGTACCTTTAGAGAAATAATTATGATTACATGTAGTATCAGTTAAGCTTCTGCTATGATGCAAGAACATGTATTTTTCTGGAAGAATAGGAAGGAAAATTCCAAAAAATACGCACACAATTTATATGCATTTTAACGTTAAATTAGTGTGAATTAATTAACGTTAATTTAACGCTTAACGTTAATTTAACATGAAAATAACATTAAATTAACGTTAATTTTTTAACGTTAAATTCATGTATAAGCTCGATTGAACGTTAATTTAACGTTAAATATTTAACATTATTTTCATGTTAAATTAACGTTAAGCGTTAAATTAACGTTAATTAATTCACACTAATTTAACGTTAAAATGCATATAAATTGTGTGCGTATTTTTTGGAATTTTCCTTCCTATTCTTCCAGAAAAATACATGTTCTTGCATCATAGCAGAAGCTTAACTGATACTACATGTAATCATAATTATTTCTCTAAAGGTACACCAGAAGCTCATCAATTTTGCACTTTTCCTTGTAGCACTGCAGAAAGCTAGGCTTGCATGTTGACTTCATCCATGGTGTCACTTTCTTTTCAATTTGAATATATCCAAAAGGATAAAGGGACCCATCAGCTCTTTCAACAAAATCTCTAAAATTCTGAGCATTGCCTCCGATTTCAAATTTTCTGAAGAAAAGAGAAAAACACCAATTCATCTATTAATACTTTTAATCAGGCATATTCAATACAATGCTACAAATCTTCTTTCTTTTTCCAATCTGAAAAATAAGAGAGGCAAATACATTCATATTATAATAATTATATGAAAATACAAGATGTGTTTGTGAAACACTATGCGCCCGGCGTCAACAAAGTTCGAAAAAGCTATTTTTAGTATATAGGTCACAGTCAAGGTCATTGACCTTGGTGTTGTTTGAAAGAACTTAATTAGTGGAGTATGTATACTAAATATAAAGTCCCTATCTCCTATGGTTCAAAAATTATGGCAAAAAGTGGAAAAAGCTATTCTTAGTATATAGGTCACAGTCAAGGTCACAAGGTCATTGACCTTGATGTCATTTGAAAGAGCTTTATTAGTGGGGTATGCATACCAAATATGAAGTCCCTATTTCTTATGGTTCAAAAGTTATGACAAACAGTTGAAAAAGCTATTTTTAGCATATAGGTCACAGTCAAGGTCACAAGGTCATTGACCTTGATGTCATTTGAAAGAACTTTATTAGTGGAGTAAGCATACCAAATATGAAGTCTCTATCTCTTATGGTTCAAAAGTTTTGGCGAAGGTTAAAGTTGACAACAGACAGACAGACAAACAGACAAACAGACAGGACAAAAACAATATACGCCCGGGATCTATCGATCCGGGCACATAAAAATACTTCAGCAATACATTAACAACTCAAATTTGTCTAAAATATAATGAATGAAACAAGAGGTCTATTGGCCACATCCCTTACCTGAGCACATGGGCTAGCTAAAAAAAACAGATCAGTTAAGTATTGAGAAGTTTACTTTATACTTATTGGGGGGAGGGGGATTTGAATTTTCTATTACTTGAAAAGGTCACTATTACAATACAGCATACATATATTATTTTGCCATACTTGAAAAGAAGATTTTTAAAGATTTTTCCAACACATTACCTGATCTCCCATTGTGACCCCTCGCTAACCCACAATCCCCGGGGCATTATTTGAATAAATATAAATTTTTACTACTTGCAGATCATGTCAATTCGACAAAACAATTTTTTTCTGTTCTGGAGATTCTTTTTCCTATGTATTCTTATGCAAGTCTGTGATCCCTCATTGTGGCCACACCCTAACCCCGGGGTCATGATTTGAACAAATTGAATCTACATTTAGTACCTTTGGATGCTTCCACACCACGTCATGAGATTAATCATTCCTGTCCTAATGGTTCTGAAGAAGGTTTTTCCTATGCATTCCTATGTAAAATTTTGGTCGGCCATTGTGGCCCAATCCAACCCCCGGGGGTCATGATTTGATCAAACTTGAATCTACACTACCTGAGGATGATTCCACATAAGTTCGGAGAAGATTTTAAAAAGGTTTTTCCTATGCATTCCTATATAAAACTTGGGAACAAATTTGAATCTACACTACAGGGGTCAAGAGGTGATAGATGTGCGTATCGATAAATGTTCAACGGAATTTCTCAGTGACGTCATAAAGGGTCGACACGCATTCAGTGTCTTGTATACATGCCATTGGTTTTGAAAAATAATGCATTTTGCAAAAGCCACAAACAGCGTGATCAGGCAAATATAAAGTATGAATAAGTCACAAATGTAAATATAAGTAATATGGTATCATTTTTAAACATCCAACGGGCTAAATACAGGTTGGTACGAGATTAAATTCATTATAAAGCCCCTCAGGCTTTATGGAATTTAATCTTATGAGTCATGACCAACCGATATTTATATCCGAATAGATGTTTAAAAATACCTTATTTCTTTAGCAAGACTGAAAGTCCATTGTGCCCCCCCCCCTCCCGGGTTGAAGAGGCTTTAAAGTACACTATCTGAGGATGCTTCCATTTAAGTTCCATCTTTCCTGGCCCAGTGGTTCTTCAGAAGAAGTTGAAAATGTGAAAAGTTAACAGATGGACAGACAGACGCCGAACAAAATGTGATCTGAAAAGTTCACTTGAGCTTTCAGCTCAGGTGAACTAAAAAGCTACTAGTATCTAAAAACTATATACTTCCATTTATCCTGCAACCACCCCTTGCACTGACCTAATAAAGGTAACCTAATAAACCAAAGCTTTATCCGGTCATTGCCCTAATAAAGCCTCGTGCATGTATTCCGACGTTTGAAAAGCATTGTGACGTCACGTATACTGCATGTTTACTCCATGGTGTCACAGTTTCCACTGCAGAGATGTGCCTAAATCTGTCGAAAATAGCTAGTTTTGAACGTTCAAATGTAACGAATATGTTGCAGGATAAACAAAATACATGATAATTGTCTTGAAATATAAGCGATATTTGGGCTCGGGTCGAAAACGTAAGAGGGCTCGGCAAGCCTTGCCCTCTATCACGTTTTCTTACCCTCGCCCAAATATCGCTTATATTTCAAGACAGTAACCATGTATTTTATATATATATTACTAAACAGTGAGACTGGCAAACAGACATTGTGTTTCCAGTATACTTTCAAAAAAATTTAGGGGTGACATATTAAATGGTTTTAAATATTTGATATGTGTTCAGAAAAAATGCACTTTACCTGGTATTTTGAAGATTGCTTAAGGTGATGAAATATATTCACTTTCTTGTGATTATCATGTTCATGTCAGCAAGACTTTATACTGAGTTAACCTACAATTATAAAAAAAATAATTAAAAATCATTTATTTGAAATGTAATATTTTCAACATATATGATATTATGTGCAGTGTCTGATTCAAAGCAAACTTTTAGTACAGTGAAAGCAACTTGACTTTAAATTTGTCTCTTTAGCATAAACTCTAGATCAAGTTATAAAATTTTTCTAAATGAAAATTATGAATACACTATGTATGTACTATTTCATAAATAACCTTTATTCCTGCATGGTTATCCTGAAAAACATCAATTCAAGGAGGCACCAAGGAATGGTATATAGAGGCTGTAGTCTGCTCTTTTCTCCATGTCTTGCATACAAGTATCTTTTCTGTAATATGCAGTAAAAGAAAAAATCTTGATTTAATAAATTTTTAATGCTTATAAAATATTTCTGAACAAAATATTGACAAGTGTCAAGTAGGCCTAGTGACAAGTACTTAACTGGTATTTTAAAAAATCAGTTGGGTGTGTGAATGTAAATTTCACTGTCATTAAATTTACTCAATACTGTGAGAATTGTTTACATTTTGTTCCACTTTCAATACCTGTTTTGTGTTCCACTGGCATTATAATTTAGGCAGCTGGGTTCTTCCGAGTCTCGACGACAAAGTCCGATTTGATCCATTTCAGAAGTGCGAGTCAGATGTGATACCGAGTTCCAGCTGTTTAAAATACAATAAAAATAAATATCAAATCGGGGTTTTTTTCCTCGATAATGATGAAACCAATTAAGATGAACTGTTAGAATCAGGGAAAACATCGCTCACATTGCATGTTTAACTTCAACTTCGAGATGGTTATTGTTAACTTGTACACGATTTCTACTTTCACTTTCGAATTTTCTCCGTATCGTACGTAGGGCGGCAGTACAGCTGTACCGGAGGCTTCAGTGTTCAAACAAATTTAACCAACTGAACAATAAATAGACCTAATAAAAATAGTAATGCTGATATATACAAATATCCAACATAGCAGAGATCTGGCACGTCGTTCACAGCCTAGTGACATAGTAGCCTGCAAGGACTGTTGAGTAATTGCAAATAAAACTGCACATTATCGTCCCTGAATTATAGGTGGCGCATGACACGTTTAAGTTCATGACTATTCGTACCTTCAATTTTAGAGAGTGTCGACGTAATTGCGACCTTGTAATATCTTGCTATTTTGATTAGATTTTGTAGATATAATGGCTGATTACGGATCGTGGGATTTACCCACACTTAGAAAAGAGCTACGGAAACGAAATGCTCGCATTTCCGGCCGCAAAAGAGAATTGGTTGAAAGGTAATACTTGCGGGCATCTTCTTAACCATAATTTTCTCTGTCGAACACGGAATCGTGATTAAGACGTTATCGGTACCTGATATTCTTTATAATTTCAATAAAAGTTCTTCAAAAGCATATTTCGTGTAGACTTTTGCGAGATTAATTACAATTTATACTGTCTACATTTTTATTTCAATGTCAGTCTGAGTCAGTTTTTTGACGCATGTCATTGTCAATCTCTATTAGGCGAAGCCAAAGGCTCTTTACGTTTTAAACCTTTATAGTTGAATTTTATCAATGCAGATAAAAAGTTTAAAACGTAAAGAGCCTTTGGCTTCGCTAACATAAATAATTCAATTAAGAGTGGACTTTTTAGTTATATACAATATTTGTAACATAATAGGCCTGCACTGTATAACTGGTAAATGTTAGTAACATGATGCATTTAAGTTACATATGTTGTATAGAACGAAAAAGACCATTCTTAGAATTATGTAGGCTTAGCTTACAGGCGCTTGACGTTTAAAACTTTTTATAAATTTACTGTTACCTGACTGCACTGCCTATCACCTAGTATAGGCCCCAAAGTAAAAAAAAAATTAGGCCTGAGAGAGAGAGAGTGAGAGAAAGAATCATGGATGAGAAACCTCTGTTTAAACCATATACATGTAACTATTGCAGTCAGAGACATTATACATTTATTGAATGAGTTCGAGGGCAACATGCGTTTTGTCGGACCCAAGGACCAAACTGTCTGCCTGAGGCCGTTAGGCCGAAGGCAGACAGTTTGGTTCGAGGATCGACAAAACGCATTTTGCCCGAGGACTCAGTCAATAAATGTTTTGTTATACCTTTCATTTCATTTTTTTGACATACATGTATTTTGTATTATATTCAGTGATGTAACATCAGGTCTGTCACTGTTTAATACCAACGAATGAAAATGAGATTAAGCTCCGCCCATTCTGTGACGTAAGCGGTCCAACATCTCTCCGAGCGGTCCAACATCAATTTTTTATGCCCGCTCAGCAAAACATTAAAAATGTTAGACTTTTTTTCGTATAGATTTGTATAGGAACAAATTTTTAAAGGTATAACAAATAAAATATGTCTCTGATTGCAGTACATATAAAAATATGTAACAGTTTAGTTTTTTAATTGTAAGTTATATCTATACATACATTCACAAGTGTTCCCCTTCAACATATTTCAGACTTCAAGCATATGACAGGAATGCAAATTTTGGTGCTACAGAAAGAGTAGAGAGAGAATATTGTATGCAAGTTCCTTGTTATGAAAAGTTTAAAGATATTAACAAAGATACACAGATAGTGGAAGTGAGAGAAGAGGCAGTGAAAGCATACCTAGAAAGAATGAACAAAAGTGTTGATAGCAATGTGATGTACATATATGAGAGCAAGTTTCTGAAGTATGTGAGACTCTGTGCTGAAAACAACTTTTACTACATCAAGGCAGAATGCAAGGCACAGATGAAGAAGAGTGTGTCATATAAAGTGGATGTGTGTGTTGATATGGATGGGTGTATTGTTGAAAGTCAGTGTGAGTGTGCTGCGGGTATGGGCCCAACTGCTGCGTGCAAGCGTGTGTGTGGTATTGTTCGGTTTACAAATGTTCAGTAAAAGTCTAGACATTGTCACAGAGGAGACATGTACGCAGAACCTACAAACTTTCCATCACACTAAAGTATACAAAGGCAGTCCAATTAAAGCAAATGACTTGCCTTTAGCAGGTGAAGTGGATGTCAGTTACGATCCACGACCCAGGGCATATCGGAATATGCCTGGATACCCTGATACCTTCAGAAATGTCTGGGTAAATCATCCTAACATTAGTGATTTGGCTGTCTCACAAATCTTCCCACTAGCAAACACCATTGGGTTAGAAAAAGATCATGACTATTTCAGTCATCCTTTGTCATACATATGGTTACAAAACATGAATATAACAAAAATTTCAGATGAAGATATTGTCAAGTTAGAAGAGCAAACACGGGGACAAAGCAAAAGCACCATCTGGCGTAATGAAAGACGAAAGAGAATTCACTCATCTAACTTTGGTCGAGTTTGCAAGGCTACTGATAAAACTGATTTTTCAAAACTGGCTGAAAATTTAACTAAGCATGTGCCTGAAATTCGTGTACCAGCTATTTTGCATGGTAGGTGTTATGAGTCAGTGGCGATAAAAAAGTTTGAGGAAAAATTTAATGTTAAAACCTCAAAATGTGGAATATTTGTTTCAAAGTTGCATCCTTTTATTGCTTCTTCACCTGATGCCATCTTGGACCAAAGTACACTTATTGAAGTTAAATGCCCCTACAATGCAAAATACAGCAAAATATCAGAGGAAACTGTCTCCTATTTACAAAATGTTGATGGATGTTTAGAGCTAGACAATACTCATGACTACTTCTATCAAATTCAAGGGCAACTCTTCTGTTCAAACAGAACATGCTGTTATTTAGTTGTTTACACATTGAAAGATCTCAAAGTTATCTCAATTCAAAGAGACCAAACATTCATTGACAGAATGTTGCAGAAATTAATTTCATTTTTTGACACATACTTCAAGACTGCTGTTCTTAAGAACTTTTATTACCATGACAACAAAATGAACTAAATTTTTGAAGTTGTTAACTATGACATGAATGGACCTTCAGGCACTGCCACACATAAGCATTTTTTATGTTGTACATAGAAATTTACATTGGTTACATGTTCATACATTGATACCTATACTCTATGTGTTCATTGTACATGTACCTCAATACATGTAGATCTATTCATATGATTATGCAACCAGTTTTAAGACTTTAGCTATACAGATACTTGCAACTAACTGAGAATTTTTAAATCAATAAATAAACTGACATCTCCAAGTTTATGGGTTATATTAGGGTATTATGTAAGAATAATGCACAAAATGTAAATTAATTTTCACCACCTTGTTATCAGTAAAGAAGTTCATTACATAGGCATGTGATTTTTTTTTCAACCAGTTTGTATAAAATTTTATTAACAAAGTGTCAAAACTTCCCAATAAAAATGTTCTAATATATTTAATAGTTTGGTATGACTCTGTGAACCAATCAGCTTATTCATTTTCATTGAACACAACATTATGCATGTTTGGGAACAATGCATTTTTTGAAATTACACAGTGTGAAACATACAAATAAAATTTCACTGGCCAATTTTGTCTCAGTTGTATTTAAGGGTGTTTTCAGAATTTTGTATGTCTTTCCTAACCCTATCAGCCGCTCAATATGAACTCTTTTGCTAGAGATTTTGCGATCACGCAAAACTGTCTTTCCAGACATTCTGTTTTTTTGTTTAAAAAATGATGGAATGTTTACGGTTACGTCTTTGGGAGCAAATAAATCTTGTACATTGAATCCCTTGTCTGCCATAAGAGAATCGCCAGGTTCAAATAAGTCAGCACTTAACAAAGGACTCCGTTCAACAAGCTGTCTGTCACTAGCAGACCCTCCATAAGCAGGTGACACATATGAAATTAAACCCCCTGGAGTTGAGCCTACGAGTACTTTGACAGTATTTCTATTTTTATACGTAGAGAAGGTTGCTTGCTGGGCAATGGGGGGTTTAGGTTTCTTTACAGGAATTTCTGTTCCATCAAGTAGTACTCGTGTAGAGGGGAATTTACTGTAAAAATCAGATGGAGAGAAAAAGGTGACCAGATCTTTTTCCGGCCAGAAATTCAGTTCCCTCCACTGTCTCGACATAAAGTTCACCCAAGTAATCCAAATATTCTCAACAGTTGTTTGTGATATTGAAAATAATCTACTTAATTCAAAATTGGGCTTATGTTGCCTCAACTTAATCAGTGTCAAAAAGAGCTGATTTTCAATGGACATATTTTGAACCTGATTATAAACATAATTGAGATGAAAGGCTGCTTCACCAAGACTATACAGTACATGTAAAAAGTCTGTGTAGGAACTCAACCCTGTATAAAACATGATGCCTTCATCATCATACATGAAATTTTCAATACACATGATTGGCAATTTTGCTGTTTGACTTGACGAATCTATAAAAAGAGGTGCAACAGTAGCACTTATATCAATATTATTAATATCACTAGGGCAAAACTTTTCATCCTCCACTTCTACACTGTTGCCCACTTCATAAACATTGCAATCATCTGAAACCATTTCTGAATTTTCATGGTCGCCTTTCTCCATTTTGGCACGGCGGGCCACTACTCTTTTGCTCCTCTCATCAAAATTAATAGATGGCGACTTGGTCCAGGGGAAAATGGAGGGGACTGCCTCAGGTTTTCTTTGCCTCCTTAGTGGCTCAGTGCCTATCAAATTATAAAAAAAAATTATTGTGACCTTAATAATAAAAATGTTTCGGAGGAAAAAGACGATATTTCAGATTTCAGATATTTCAGAGATGTTAAAATATTTCAATTCAATCAGATAAAAACTAATATTAAAGATATATGTATTGTAATGCTTATCGTGTCCAATGGTGTCTTCCTCATCCACTCATCAGGAGCTTCCAAGAGAGCATGACTGTAGAATGACTCTAATTCCTTGAAACATCTTGATGAATTATGACATAACAAAATAGCCATGAAATAGCAAACTTGGTATTTTTCAATATATATTTCACAAGTTTGACCACTCCATCGCATATTTTGATAATATCAAACCGTTTAATATCCAGATACTGCGCTGGGAA